CACGGGTGTCCCCAGCCCTCCTTCCTCTGAGGGCTCTGCTCAGACCCCCTCCGGAGCCTGCCAAGAGGCCTGATCCTGGACAAAGCTCCCAGGCCTGCACCCGAAGGGCAGGCCGGCTCAGGGACTCTACAGAGGGGGACCTTCCCCCAGGCAGGCCCAGGGACGGGGAAGCCACACCGATCCCTCCTCCCTGTGGCCACCCTGCCCGCTCCATAGGCTCACAGCCCCTGCTTTACAAATGAGGAACCTAGGGCACAGAGAAAGGAAGTGACCTGCCAGAAGGGCCCAAGCTGGCCAGTGCTCGGGGCACCTGCTGACCCTCTTGCTCGTTTCCCACAAGGACCAGAGCCTCACGTGTCTAGGCCCCACTTCACAGCAGCCCAGCCTGCCGGGGCCTGCGTCAGTCAGAAGAGGCTGGTCACGGGCAGAGGGAGAACCCCCAAAGCCTCAGGGGCTAACTGCTCACTCGTACTGTAGGCCCCATCCTGGGCCAACCCTGGCAGGGGGACAGGGGACTCCATGTGGCCACCAGGCTTTGGCCCAGAAGCGACAGGTATCATCCATACCCACATCTCACCTACTGACCCCACCCAACCTCGGGGGTGGGGAGGGGTGGCCCTGCCTGGGGAGCCCCATAAAGGGGAGCAGGACCTGGCGACTGCTCTGTGCACTGCCCAGAGCCCACAGGCCATCCACACCTGACCAGCACCTGGGCCTCGACCTTGGTATGAAGGTCTTGGTCCAGCAGCTGTGTGGCTGGTGTCCAGTCCCTGGCCTCGTTCTGGCCCTGCAGCTGGCCCGAAGATGAACACGGCTTTTATCTGGAGGTGGGGGAGGGACGTCAAGTACGTCCTCCCAGCAACTCAATTAATCCTCCATCAGAAAGTCTAACACAATCAATTTGGGGAGCCGATCAACATCATAACACAGTAATTAGGAACAACTTTCAACTCTGGGCTTCCTTTGAAGATTGTAATTGCAATTAATTAAACATCCTCATCGCTCCTCGGAGTTCATCCCGAGGAAACTGAAGGGGGGGTCCCTGAACCCTGTTCCCAGCAGCTCAGGAATCAAAGGGGGGATCTGTCTCCTTTGAATACCAAAGACGTGAAGTCACCTGGGGCAGCTACGCAGTCGGAAACAACCAGCTCAGCTTCTGCATCCACACCCGACTCCTGCCCCCCAGCTCTGCCGGGGGTTCCCCAGCCCTCCACTCTGCAAGGTGACATGCCCAGTCACAGGGCACATTCAAGAAGCAATAGTTGAGCACCTGCTGCCTGCAGTCCCATGTGGCTCCTGCAGCACTGCTGCTCTTCAGGGATGAGTCATGGTGGAGCTGGGTCTTCTGAGGCTCAGCCAGGGAAGGGCAGGTGGCCCGGGAGGAAGAACAGGACCCTGCAGGGTGGCTCCTCTCTCTGAACAGAGGAGGGCAGTCAGCCCAAGCAGAGACAAGGGGCTAGCAATGGCCACTGTTGACAAAGCCCAGAGTGGCAGGTGTCCAGCTCATCACCCCAGCGGTCTTGCCAAGTGCAGACCACTCCTCAGAGGGGCCCAGAGGCTGGTCCAAGGCTCACAGCTGCTAACAGGAGGAGCAGCACGCGCTCACTCCAGAGCCCTCGATCCGAGCCCAGGGACATCAGGGGTTGGGGAGAAGCCAGTGGCTCAGAGCTCCAGGAAGAAGCTAGAGCAGCCTGCCGGGGAGGCAGAGTGGACAGTGGAGGAAACTGTTGCCCTCTACCTGCTGGGCTCTTACTGTCCCAGCAGGCCCAGGGGCCTCACCCACATCCCCCACAACCCCAGGAGCCCAAAGAGGCTCTGCAGTTGTGCTCTAGGACTCTGGAGGCCTAAAGAAGCCATGGAGGCTGAGGGTCATGGAGTCAGGGGGTGGAGGACCCAGTGCCCAGCCCAGTTCTATTGTCCTCCCAAATCTGGGCCGCAGCCATTTGCCCACCTCGGACACCAGGACCCAAGGTCACAGCCAGGCCCCGGGGCAGTAGCCACACTATTCCAGCCTGGAGCGCAGGCTTGGTGGGAAAGGATGGCAGAGTCCTCTGGCTAGCCAGTGGGAGGAGGGTAGGGTGCAGGGTCACCTCCCAGAGCTAGGGGCTGACGAGGAAGGTCCCTCCAACATGGAAAACGGATGTGAAGTCTTATCCCTATGCTCCCAGACAGACAGCAAGAGACTTGAAAGCCAGGCAGCTGCACGAAGCCCCAGCGCTGGGGTGGGGTGAGTACCCCAGAGCGGTGACGGAGGAGGTGAGAAAACGCGCGGTGAGCATCCCGGCAACCACAGCAGAAAGGGAAACAGGGGCTCCTGGCTCTCTGTGTGAGGAGAACAGGAGGAACGCCCAGGAGTGTGGCCCACCCCGCACTGCAGAGCTCTGAGAGGCTGGGGGGGTCTTCTCTGAACCCAACACCTCAGCACCAGGCCCCGCCCAGTACAGACACGGGACTGTGCTCACGCAAAGTCCGAGACCCCATGCTGTGACCAACTCGGGCCTCGCTGCTCCTGGTGAGCAGCTGTCTAAGGCGATGTCACAGAGGTCCACCCCGGGGCCACACTGCCCAACCTCTGGACTGTGCAGACACAGCCGGCTTCCACCCTCCCACTTTGTGGCCACACAGTGTTCTGGGCCTTACTGTCACAATCCATCCGAGGTCCTCCTGCCCTTGCCACAGGGGTTGCTCAGGCCACACAGGCCTACACCCCGCACTGCAGGCTACTCCTCGGGCCACGGCGGTCAGGTCAGGGATAGGCACGTGACCAGTCAAGCAGGGGGCTCCTGGGCTGGCAGAATGTGTGGCTGCTCCTTCTGAGACAGCTCATGGAAACCAGGGACTTTGTCCTTCTCAGAGGCCAGGGGAGACTGTAAAGGTGGGAAGTGCACCAGCCACATTGCCACTGCGAAGGAAGCCATCAGACTGACTGCCACAGCAACACTGACTGGTGGAAGGCAGGGCCTCTGTGACAACCTGGAACCCCTGGATCAAACTTTCCCTGAAGCTCATGTCATTTCTAGACATTCCAGTTTCCTGACTCATCCAGTCCCCCTCATGCTTGAAACCAGGGGGAGCATCTAATAATACACTTGCTCAATCTGCTCTGGGCCCCCAGACCCCTGGCTCAGGTCCTTTGTATCTTGGAGCACCCTCCCCTGAGTCCACTTGACTGCATGTCCTTATCCCCCCATTCCTAGCTTAAAGGCCACCTTCTCCAACAGGTCCTGTGAAACAGGCTCTGCGCCTGTCCCTTTCTTCACAGCATGTACTACATCTCCTTCTGTTTAGTTTTCTATCTGATACTCGGAGTCTTGGTGGCCTGCACAGATGCTTCTCGTACCAGTGGTTGTAAAGGACCAAGGGTTTTGTTTCCAACCTGTCACAGACCCATGCCTTTGTGAACAACTTTAAGAATAAATTTCTAGGAGGAAAAAAAATGAAGAAAACACGAAATGCAAACCCCGAATTTTTGCTATTACACTCTATAGTCACAAAATCGCTCTATCAAATGGTTTCTAAGTGCTCACTCACACCGCTGCTGTCTGGGGAAGTGGGGGCTCGATCCCCAATCCCCTCCAGGCAAGCCGGCCTGCAGAAGAGCTGTTGTCCCTGGGAGGCCCGCCCCTTGGTGGCAGGATTAGTGATTATATGCGTGCTTCCTGTCCCTAGGAAGTCTGGCTCTGAGGCCACCTCTCCCCTCCCCAGTGGGGCTGGCTGCTGGCTGTCCGGCCCACAGGTAACCTGCTCCTCCCCTGCTGTCTCACTGTCCTGCCTGTTTCCAAGGAAGACCTCCCAAATAAACCACTTGTACTGAAATCCAACTCTGGGAGCTGCTGCTGTGGAGCCCAGGGGTCTCATAGCACAGAGCCTGTGGTGCCTGATGTCATGCTTGCTGCTGCCCCATGGGAATCAAGTGCATGGACACCATTACAAGGGAACTGTTTGGGCATCCCTACAGAATCAAAGAGAGGAGTCCACAGGTGGAAGGAGCCCAGAGCAGGGGCTGGGGTCTCTGTGGAGGCCCTGACAGCAGAGGAGGAAGAACAGGAGACTTCTCTTCCACAGCCCCAGGCCTCCTCCTGCAGAGATGAGCATTCCCTCTCAAACCAGTTCTCCAGCAAAACCAAGCAACGGTTTGGAAAAATCTTTTCTCACCACCACTAGGAAGCTATAAATAACTGTAACTCCTGGATTCCAAGAAAGAAAAGAAACAGCTCCAATTCCACTTGCCTCCAGCCCTGAACTCACCCCCACACTTAGAATCCACACTCCCCAACCAGTAAGGAGACTGGTCCTTCCCTAAAAGTCTTCCTGCTCCTTGTCCTGCAGGTCAGAGGAGGAAGCTACAAACAGGGTCATCAGTTCCTGCCTCCAACCTGCCCAGAGTAGAGACAGGCCCCTGCCTGGTACTTGTCACCCACAGAGGGAAAAGCACCCAGGATGGTGACCCGGCCATCTGTGCCATTCCAGGCTCTGTGAATTCTCTCTGATCGCCAAGGAGGGACCCTCTCTCCAGAGCAGAGGCAGGGTAGCAGGGGACCAGCAGGCCTAGAAAGGGCCAAGTGAAAGCATCCTCCTTGCCACATCCCCCCACCCCATCCCCAAGCGCTGTCATGGAAACCGGAAAGCTGCCTAACATCTACCCACAACAGTACTGCTCTAGATCCCAGAGGTGGGCACTGGGGGTGGGCACTGGGGCTGGCCCCCACGTCCCTCATCAGGGTCCTCCTCCCTCCTCCCGTCACTCCCTGCGGACCAGCCTGCCTCAGGGACCATTGCCACCGGGCTCTTTCACTCTCCCCGCGTTTGAGAGCCACTTGGGTTTTCCCGTGGGTTTCCGGTCCCACCACAGACCACTCTCTGGCCTGGCTGGGCCTAGCCTCAGCTAGGATGCAGTCAGCTCGCGCTGGCTCCACCCGCCTCCCCGGGCGCAGCTGGGATGGCGCCTGCCCAGGTGTGCACGGAGAGCACTCGGGGCTGGTGGGAGAAGCGCACTTTATTCACTCCCGTGGGCCGCGGGGGCTCGCCCAGCCGGGACGGCCGGCCTCGGGCGGGAAGGCGGCGGGGCCCGGGGCCAGCAGCACGAGGCCGGACGGCTGACCGGGGCCCGCGCTGGCGTAGCTGAGCGCCAGCTGCTCCAGGCGCCGCTTGCGCGCGGCCGCCTGCGCGGTGGCGTGGAGGGGCCGCAGCAGCGCGGGCGGCGGCGCGCCGGGACCCCGCAGCAGGAAGTCGAAGCCCGCGCGGTCCTGTGGGTCGTAGAAGAGAGGCCCGCGGGCGGGGTCGGGCCCCGGCGGCCAGGCGAACGGGAAGGGCAGCGTGAAGTCCTCGGTGAGCACGCGGATGGCGAAGTCGTCCTCCTTGCCCAGCGCGCGGTAGGCGCGCCCGATGCCGCGGAAGTGCGCCTCCCAGAGCTGCGCGTCCCCGCCGTAGATGTCCGGGAAGCGGGGCTCGGGCGGCGCGGCGGGACCTGCGGAGCGGAGACAGTGAGCGCAGGCCAGGCCGGGGCAGTGACCGCGGCGCAGTGGGCGGAGCTGCGGGAGGCCAGGCGCAGAGGCGGGAGAAGCTGGGAAAGAGCCACCTGTGAGGTGGACAGGCAGACCTTGTGGCTGGGCAAGGTGAGGGCCATGCGGTGGCCCAGCTAGCAACGCCAGCGAACCGTGAAGGGCAGGAGGGAGCTGTGGGCGTGGAAGAGTCTCTGCCACTGTTTTTTGTACAGAAGGTTCCAGATGGGAAGGAGGCTAGTTTGGCCAGCCTGACCATGCAGGGACTCCAAACAGGCACAGGATATTGGGTTCACCTGCAGGCGTGGCATTTGGGGCAGCAGGAAGTGGCCACTCAGTTTGAAAGTTTGCCCTGGCTGCTTTGAATACAGAGTGGACTGTAAGGGCCCTGCCTGGAGGTCATGGCAGACCAGGTGAGGAGGAAGTGGGTACCCAATCCAGGACTGGTAGAGGGAGGTGGGAGGAGCCTGCCTGACAGCCTGCTTCTCAGCCTTGACACAACTGACCCTGGGACCTCTTGGGACAGTCAGGTTGGAAGGTCCCAGGAGCAGGTCTAGATCTCTGTGGCTTTATGTGAGTCAGGTGGATCCCAGGAGATCTATGAACCCCAGGACCCACTCTCAGAGAGTAATGTGTGCGTGCACATGGCACTTGAGGGGTTTTGGTGGCCACCACCCTGGAAGCCCACTCATGGTCTCTAGAAGGCAACCCAGGTCACTGCCCGTGGTCCACATGCTGTGGGAGCTGCTGGGCCCAGCACAGGAGAGACCCCTTCATCTTTCTCTCAGTTGTCTACTCATGAAATGTGCTTTGCTCTGGGGACAATGAAGTGGCCAAGGCAGCCCTGGGTCCTCCTAGAACACAAAGTCCAGTGGGGAGGACATCAGTGGCCCTGAGCTAGACTCAGGACAAAGACCAGGCCACTGGGGGACAGGCAGCCTGGGGGATGGATGTATGAAGCCCTATGTGGCTCCAATCTGGACCCCCAGGCCTCCTCCCAGCATCCCTAGGAGACGGACAGGAGTCCAGGCCCAGAGGCACAAGGAGGCTGAATCAGGAGCCCTGGGCTGGGCAGTCACGGTCCACTATGCCACACCCAACTCCAGAGGCTGATTCGGATTCTCCCGCACACGGATACTTGTTGAGCACCTACTGTGTGCCAGACACCACTCTAGGCACCAGCTGCAGCCACAGCGACACTCAGGTGTCCTCCTTTCTGCCCTTGAGAGCCTGCACAGCCTTCTGGGGGCTTGTTTCCCTTCTAGAAGAGGGTGACTACCACGCCTATCCTGCTGCCTTGCGAATGAGATGGCATTGGCCAACCTGTCCCAGCACCAGAAGACACATTCCTGCGTCGGCAGCTGGGACAGCATCATGGGACTGTGCCAGGACCCTCCAGCAGGAGCAGGGGAAGGACCACCCAGAACCCTGCCAGCCCAAGGCTCGGGGTCTGCCTCTCAGCACCACGGACAGCGCCTGCAGGGCCATGCCCGGAGCTCCACCCCTCAGGGCCAAGCTGTAGCTGTCCTGTCCACCTGGCACCTCCTCTCTGCAGGCTTCTGGCAAAGTGGTTGGAGGCCCAGGGCTGGGGGCCACTGACCTGGACTGCCATTCGGTACCAGCCAGTGGAGGGGGAAGCCGGAGGAGGGGCTGTGGGTGTTGCTCTGGGTTGTGGTGGGAAAGGCTTTGGAGAAGGGCCAGGTGGATGGGGCCCCAACGAGGAGAGAAGAGCACTGTGCTGCCCCCTCATCACAGCCCTGGGGCACAAGGGGAGGGCCTGCATTTCACGGTGGGTCTGGGTTGTTTTGCAGTGGGTGGAGGGGTCAGGATGGCAGAAGCAGGATACTAGGCCAGGTGAGAGGGCTGGGGAGGGTGGACTGAGAGTGCCCAGATTCTGAATTGTCTTGAAGCTAGAACCAGCTGGACCTGCGGGTGTGGGAATGTGGGGCAGGGGGAGTGTCAAGAGGAGGACGCTGAGAGCCTCAGCCTAGGAGGCAGGAGGCACCGTTTACTGAGATGGGGATGCGGGGGGGGGGGGGCAGGTTGGCCAGGGAGTCAAGTTTAGACTTGGGCGGGTTGGTGCCCTTAGATGGGCAGGGGAAGAGGGGCAGCAGCGTCTCTGAGGCTCCAGGCTGGAGATAAACCCTGAGAGATGGCATTTGCAGTCATGGAAGTGGGTGAGATCACCAAGTGGGTGAGCGGACAAGAGCCTGGGCCCTCTGTCCTTCCCAGGTCAGGGACAGGAGCCAGAAGGGGACTTGGAGGGGCAGTAGTGCCAGAGCATGGGGTTCTGGAGGCCAGAGGGGGCTGAATCATGTGCTGCCAATGGGTGACGTCAAACGAGGCCTGAGAACTGACCTTGGATTTAGCAGTGGGAGGCTGTGAGTGACCTTGACGGAGCTGCGTTAAGGAAGTGCTGGAAATTGAAGCCTGATGACAGTGGGTTCAAGAGCAAATGGGGGAGATCTGGAGGCAGCAGGGATGGCAACCTTTTCAAGGAGTTTTGCTATAAATGGGGGGCAGAGAAATAGGGCAGCTGCTAAGGACGCAGTCGGGTCAAAAGCGAGGAGGCACAGCAGCGGGCTTTCATGTTGATAGGAGCCGAGTGGAGAGGACAGGCCCCGAGGGGGGAGCCACCCAAGGCAGGAGCAGGGAGGGAGTGGGGGCCTCGGGATGTTGGCCTTGCAGGGAGCAGGCGGGGAGGGCAGAGCCAGGGCACCCGGGGTGGGAGCCTGAGTCTTCCTCTGATGGCTCCAGTTTCTCAGGGAGACAGGACGGCGGCCAGCAGCTGGGCTGAGGAGGGGCCCAGAGAGAAGGTGCCAGGCTGTTGCTAGGAGAGGGAGGCTGGGCAGACAAGGACAGGCAGGGAGCCGGCCTGGCAGAGGCACCCCGCAGGCTGGCCATCAAGAACAGAAGGTGAGAACCCCGCTCTGCCAGCTGTGGGCACAAGCAAGGATGGGCGGGCTTTGGGGGTTTGCCAGACAGGTTCAGGAAAAGGAGAGTGCTCCTGGCGAGGGAGGTGTGCGAGGAGAGCAAGCGAGCCAGCGGGGGTGGGAAAGAGGGTGGAAGCCCAGGGCCCTCTCCTGCCCGGCAGCTGGAGCGCCTCTAGGGGCAGGGGCTGGACAGGAGCCCCAAGACAGACAGGGAGGAGTGAGCCTGGTGCAGGTGAGGCTTGAACAGGTTGAGGTGGGGGGCACAAGATCCTCGGGAGACATAGCCAGGCCCCGAACCAGCCAGCGGAAGGGGAGAAATCCACAGTGCCAGGAGAGAGGCAGGGCCAGTGAGCAGTGGCCTGGAGGGTGGCCGGCCACCCCTCCCTGTAGCTAGGGCCTGATTCCAGAGGGCCTCAGGCAGGGGGAGTGGGGAGAACCTGGCTCCTGCAGGCCAGGGCTTCAAGGGCTGGAGGGGAGCAGCCCCCTCCCCTGGGAGCACTGCTGGGTGGGGGAGTGGGCTCTGGGGAGATGGAGGACCACCTGAGAGGGTGGGGTTGGTGCCCCACCCTGGCCAGGTCCTGCTGCACCGTCCTTTGTGACTTGGCAGAGACCCCCTGCTGGAGGGGAGGCGAGATGCTGCTTTTGTCTCCCATGACCCCAGATCCCAGGTGCCACTGTCCCTGTCCCCATCCTCCACCCTCCCCCGAGCATCTCACCTGGAGTGGCGACAGGGGGAATGGGCAGGCGTGTGGGGCTGAGGTCCCCAGAGCAGGGGGAAGCCATGTCAGCAGCAGGGCTGAGGCTTCTGTTTATCTGGCTGCCCAGGAAACTGGGAGGGGGCTTCTAGAAGGAGAGAACCTTCCATTTAAAGGGGCCCCACCTGAAGGTGGGCCCTCGGGGGTCGAAGGGCGTCATGGCCTCAGGGCACTGGCCTCTCTGTGGGCAGCCTGCCCTCCCTGCCCTCTGCAGGCTCCTCTCAGGCCACCTGCTCTTGCTTATTTGTCCTCGCCACACCCCGCAGAGTAAGCTCCTGGCCACCTGACCAGCATCAGCCCTGCTCAGGGGCCATCAAGACCCACCTGGCCTCAGAGGCCTCCGGGCTGCTGGCCCCAGGCCCTTCCTTCCTTGTCCATGTCGGCCTGGCTCCACATTTCCAGCCTGTGCATGTCCCCAGGGCAGCCAAGGCCTGCTCTAGCCGTGATTAGCCTGCCCCAAACGTGCCCATCCATGAGTGTCCCAGGACCCAGGAAGCCCAGCCAGCCGTCTAACAAGTCTAACAGTGCCCATGACTGGGGAGACTAGGCCCCTGGCCTCAGCCCATGGGGTGTGGGTTCCCCCAAGTGGTGGGAGAACAGGGCCTGCCACCACCCGGGGCTCTGCGTGCCTGCATCTCCACACCTCTGTGAGCAGCCTCCCCTGCGAGACGAGCACACCCTCACCCTCCGGTTCCTGCTCTCACTGTGCCCCCATGGAACCCTGGCCTGCTCCATACCTCAGAGCCCAAGGGCCTGGCTGGCCTTCCCACGGAGCTCCCCTCGCTGGGTCTGGTCTGCTGTGCTCCCATGGGCTCCCACGGGCACCAGCCCCCACACAGCCCCATCTCTGGTCTGGGGCCCCATAGCCAAGGGCTGAACCAGGTGACCCGCTCCAGCACCCTTGGCTGAGGTTCCTTGGCTCAGGCCAGCCCCAGGTGGAGAGGGAGGCCATGGTGCCCTGTGAGGACCCTCAGCTGCCCGTCTACTCACCCCTGGGAGCCCCTCAGGAAGGCCTTCACCACCTCCTCTGGCTCAGCCACCATGAGAGGCTGAAATCCCTCTCCAGACGAGCCCAGCCCACCTCCCACTTCCATCAGCCAATCTGGGGCACAGGAAAGGAGACCCAGCAGAGGCTGGGGCTCTGGGTGGACCCTCGCTCACTGGGGCTGGGCACCCACCTCATGTCCCTGAGCCTCTGTTTTCCCCTCTGTAAAATGGGACTGAAAACAGCCTACCACAGGTTAGCAAGAAAATAAAGGTACCTTGGAGAAGGAATGAGACAGCAGACACAGCTGGAATCCACCCTGGTCAGGAAGCACTCCCAGCCTTGAGGACTGGCTCCCCAGCCACCTCCGCCTCCCCCACCCCCACAGGTCTCTGTCCCCGCACGCAGGAGAGGACAGGGAGGCTGAGACAGGACAGGAAAACGCTCAGCCAGGAAGTGCTGGAGCCATAGTGGGGCCTGGGCCCCTGTCAGGGCCTCAGCAGAGACAGAAGGAGGCCTAGAGCCCCAGGGGGCCAAGGTCTGCCAGTACAGACCAGGCCGCAGGCCAGGCTGGGGATGTCCACGGTCGTTGTTTTGGGTTTGTTTGTGGAGAGCTGCACTTAGGTGCCCAGTGCACAGACAGAGCAGTGTCGGGCCGCGCATTCCCAGGACCGACACGTCCTGAAGCAATGGGTCCATGCCTCCGGCGGCAGCACCCCCTGCCCACCCCAGCTGCCACTGCACACTCTGCTTCCAGAAGTCAGCTGGCTTTAGACTGGCCATCCAGTGGGCCAGGCCATATGTCCACTGCAGCCAGTCACCCCACTTGGCACGTCCTCCAGGTTCCACATGCTGGCAGCCTGGGTGGTCCCTGGCTTTAGGGCCAGGGGGTGCTCCAAGGCGCTTCCCTAGTGCTTCCTCCAGTGATGGAGCCCAAGCCGCGTCCACGCCTGGCTCTGGGTCCACGCTGCAGAGAGCGTGGCCGCTCTGCTCTTGGAGAGTCTGATTTCAGTTCTTTCGGATGCACACCCAGAAGTGAGATCGCTGCATCAGATGGCATTTCTATTTTTAATTTTTTGAGAAACCTCCGCACTGTTTTCCATATCAGCTGCACCATTTTACATTCTCGCCAACAAGGTGCGAGGCTCCCTTCATCCTCGCCCCTTCGTCTGGCTTTCTGGTGGTGGCCTTCCAGGGGTGGGAGCTGACGTTCCTCAGGGTTCCATCACAGGTCCCAGTGAACACTGACACCTGTCCCCGCACCCATTAGCCCCTTTCTCCTTTGCAGAAGCATCTGAGTCCTTTGCCTGTTTGTGGCTGGGCTGCGTGGTTCCCACTGTGGGCTGCAGCAGTTCCTGACCTGTCTGGCCGTTGACCCCTCTCCAGGTGCAGGGCTTGCCCACGCCTCCTCCCAGCCATTTGTCCACTGTCTCCTTTGGTGCAGGAGCACTTCAGATCCGTGTGGTCTCCCAGGTCTATTCCTGCCTTTTCCGCCTGTGCTTTGGGTTTCACATCCAAAACATCGTTGCCAAGGTCAATGTCAAGCAGCTTCCCCCCCCCCCGTTTTCCTCTAGGAGTTTGACAGTTTCCGGTGTTGGTTTGAAGGCTCGGGGAGGGTGCAGGTTGGTCCACTGGATGCTTATGCCCCTGAGAAGGGAGGCGCTGGGGTGGCAGCCAGCTGGAGGAAGGGCCCAGGTGCATGCCATGCCCCTCCTGTCACCTGCAGTCCATAAAGCCTCCGCTGTCCCACCTTCCAGGCAGGCCCAGCACAGCTACAGGGTGTGGTGGCCGGGTGTGGTGGCACCCACCCGTATTCCCAGCTGCTCGGGAGGCTGAGGCAGGGGGATGGCAAGTTCAAAGCCAGCCTCAGCAACTTATCGAGGCGCTAAGCACCTCAGTGAGACCCAGTCTCTAAATAAAATACAAAAAAGGGCTAGGGTTCAATCCCCAATACCAAAAAAAGAAAAGAAAAACACTATGGAGGCCCAGAGAACTTGGGGTGGCTTCAAAGGGGAGGTGGCCTGGGCTGGGGTCTCTAGGGGCAAACAGGAAAGTCCAAGGAGTTTCCTTAGGAAGGCACAGGTTCCAGGAAGAAGGCACTGCCCAAACAAGCCCCGAGAGCAGCTGCCTGAGCCTGGGGACCCCGGGAGTTGGTGAGGGCCTGGGGCAAGGGTAAGAGGGCTGCCCTGGCCTGCGTCAGGCCGCCTCCTACTGAAGGTTGGCCTGTGCAGAGGTGTGGCAGTGGGACCAGTGTCCAGACCTCCAGGCCCAGCCTAAGGCAGCAGGATGCCGGGTGCCCATACCCAGGGTGCCTCTCTACTGGTCTCTGGCTAGAGGGAATGCGGCTGGAGAGAGCAGGTCGCTGCAGGACCTTGGGGCTGGTTAGCAGGCTCTGCTGGGTCCTAGGCCCCTGCGTCCTTCCTGCTGGGGCCCTCCCACCTGGAGTCCTGTCTGGCCCCACAGCACCACCTGCTGGCTGCTCGGGGAAGCAGATGAGACCGTGCTGCAGGGTGGGAAGGGCTCTGCCCCACCACATTGGCTGGAACCCTTGGGAGAAGGTGCCTCGTGGTCCAGTGGCCTCATCCTCGCCTCAGACTTCTTTCTGGGGCCTGAGCTTAAGCCCTGCTTCTCCCACTGACTGCTGTGTCACCTCAGCCAGATTATGACCCCCTGAGCTTCACCCTCACCCCAGGACAGCAGGCATGTCTGGCCTTCAGGCTGATGTGAAAAGTGGCCACTGGGCAGGGACTGTATGTCCAGAGGAGGTTGGTGGTGCTCACTGCTGCCCAAGAGATTCATGGAAAGACAGGCACGCAGCTGGCCCAGCCAGGGCCCTATGGCCAACATCTGTTTTCAGATGTAGTGGCAAAGAGGAGATGGACAGTGTCCCCGACTTGTGTCCCTGGCCAGTTCAAGTCCACTCCCTGCTGCCCAGTGCAATGCTAGAAGCCCTTGCCTGCATTCTGCTTCCCTGGGGACACCCCAGATATGGGAGGTTGGTGGCCCTTCTGCCCGCTGGCATTTCACCTGCCTGTGACTTGCGGGGAAATCTCCTTACTCTGAAACATGCCTTCCTGTGGAAACAGGCGGCCTCACCTGCCCTCCACGGTCCAGGTGTGAGTGGGTCTGGGAGCCGTGAAGGCCCACAGGCTCATGGAGGGCCTGAGGCAGGACCTGCGAAGCTCCAAGACTCGTTCCTCTTGGGCTCGGCTTCCCTCGGAACCCATTTCCACCTGAGATAGGCCATGGCCGCCCCAAGGGTCCTTGCTTCTAGTCCCAAAGCCTCACTCCTGGCTGCAATTCCACATTCCTGGGGCAGGGAGCCGCCTTCCCATTGGCCGTGTTTATCACCCCACTCACCTGTGACTTGGCTCTGCCAGTCTGTGGTGTCAGTGCCACCCTGGCTGGTTTCAAGCCTCTGTGAGACGCCATGGGACACAGCACTGGGGAAGCCACCACGATATGGTGTTCTGCCCCCACAGATGCCATGGACACAAGTGACCTCAACAGCATAGATGGCGCCCAGGAGCAGGGAGGGAGGAGGCGGGCGGTGTCTGCTGAGGTTTCCACGGCTGCTCTTGAAAATCCAGGTATCAGTCTTGCGATCCTGTCACCGCCGGCCCAATGCCACCAAACAACATGGCCAGCAGGGGCCACGTGGAGGCACTGGGGGAGGGCTGTATGAACTGAGGCAGGCATCGGGGCTGGCCAGACCCCAGATGCCTGCTCGGCAGCTCTGCAGGCTCAGCTGCCCAGGATCCTCCTCTGTGAATGGACTTACTTTAACAGTCACCCACCGTGCTCAGAGGCAGAGAGGATGGGAGTCCACGGTTCCCAGGCCGGCGCGTTCTGGGCTTGCTCGCGCTATTTTTTGGCTGCACATGGTGCTTCCTGCTCCCGAGTCCAGCACTCCCCGAGGCCGGACACGCAGGTTCCTTCTCCATTGGCTGCCAGCGACATCACTTGGTCTTCTTTGGCCGAGGTGCCTTTGGGCTGGGGCATGGGTGACCTGGTTTGTCCATGGTGCTGGTACCGGAACCTCA